AATACTATCATGTTATATATGTTTTGGCTAGGGGTCTCTAAAAGCAGGAACATGCCATCGCTCCCCAAAAGGACTTATCGCTTACACGCTTGTGATTATAATGTGAAAAGAGGTCGCGATCGAAGTGAAGTAGACACATGCCTGAAATATATTGACCTCATTAAATGATATCGAAACCCCGGTTGCAAAACGAATCTGTATTTATTTGTCACTAATAAAAATTAATGAATATGTACACGTCTTGTATTGAGTCCAATGTCTATACATTAATAATAAATTGATCCGAAAACCTACAGACAATAAATCGATCTGACATTAAGATTGTATTAATTGTCATAATTGTCTAACTAATTTGTTGATTTGGAGATGTGATGTACGTGTCTACGGTTAGAATGTCTCAATGTATTTCATATGTGACCCGATTGTCACGTATAAATAATTTATAGCAAATGTGTCTAAACTAACAGATTAATATTAATGAGGGTGATATCTAGGATTATCTGTGTTCACAAAAAATCACAATGGAATATAGTTCAGTTTATCCAAACTTTACTGCTGCTCCCACCTAGGGTGATATCAAAGTTATTAAGAGATACATCAGACTGAATACGTGTATATATTTGCCATGTAATAATATGTAGGTGACAGATTATTTGCTAATGTTCTAGCAATGTGTGTCAAGTTTGATAGATATGAAATATATCTGATCGGAATTAAATAATATAAAATGCCAATTATGTATTATTAATTGTAATTTATGGTGATATGTCCTTTCTTTATGAGTCTTTAGAGATTCAGAGGTCAGAAGTTTTCCCGCCATTTTCAAGCGCACGTGATTAATACGAAACGTCGGTGTTAGATCTATTTTTCATACCGGTCATAAAACTGGCCGCCTGTTACCTTATTTGAACTAATGAATTTAATAATTTATTTCCCATCTCTTGACAATTCACTATCCTGTGCAAATTTTGTATCATCAAAAGAACCAAGTTGTTTTGTTATACACGGAATAACCTATACGTAGTATTGCGTTTCAGTTGCAAATGTATTGATATTTGACGTTAGAACATTATATGTGTACAAGGAAAATGAAAAAGCGCAAAGCAGATTTGCCTTAATTTTTTAAAATAAATTGATAAATTTCAACACATCTCATTTAGATTTATTATTCTGTCAGCGTTGCACAGATAGAGCCTTGCCACGCTTCCATAGGAGTTCCGTGGATCGGGGCTAGTATTCCAACGCCACCCGAAAGTTCAGCCCGAGACAGCCCCTGTGCAGCCTCCAACCCCGAATAGACAAACGACAGTCACAAATATAATTAAAACAGTTCAACACTTTGGACACTTGGGGGTTGGATGGCCGAATGGTTAGCACGTGCGCGCTGTAACATAAGGTCTGTCATTGAGTCAACTGGCGTGGTTTCGAATTCACGGTTGTACGTGACAAGGAGTAGGGTCGCCTGTCCTACCTCGTGGTTTTCTCCGGGTCCTCCGGTTTCCTCCCACTGCTAAAGACCCATACGTGCATTCGAATTATTGAAAGAAAAAAACTAAACCATATGTTAGTCCCGAAATGACCTAGTTTGTGTCGAGTGGACGTTAAACCCCATCTCTCTCTCTCTCTCTCTCTCTCTCTCTCTCTCTCTCTCTCTTTGGACACTTGTGTGAACTTCCGTTCATGTATCGGTTTTCACCAGACAAGCAATTCTTTGCTTGGAATATTTTTGCATATCAACTTTGCCTTTTCCCATGCAGTATCAAATCATCAGAATGTCTCTTAGTGAAAACACTCGTTTATTTTATTTATTTGACAAACTGTGGTTAGTGTTCTATAAAGTAACGAGCCATGTTTTAATTGTTCCAAAATATTTTCCAAGTAAAACATTTTAAAACCGCGGGTCGTGAGAAAACGATGACGAACTGGGGAAAAAGTCGGCTCTGTTTTCAGTCAGCTGTTAAAACTGTTTGTATTTTTACCGTTATAGACTAACATTCTATAAATAATTCACACGTGTAACTGTCACTGGCCGATCAAACTAGAAGATACTATCACAATTCTGTGGTTTTTGAGAATTTCAATAAACTTTTTGAGTTGCTGAAAAATGGATGTTGGTTGAAATCACAAGTTTGTTTATCTATTGCCGTTAAACAGTTCTAACTGTGCCATTATATACACATAGAACTATCTACTTTGATAATAGATCTCTTACCTGAATGGACGCCATATTCAATAATTAGTATACTGTTTTGTAATACGGTTCTAATCCATTTTATATCTTTCATACACCAATAGACTAAATAAACTTTTTTCTCCGGTTTAATTAAATAGCAGAATAGTAAATACTTCTCAAAATTCTAGAAGCATGGTTAGTGTTTTCAAACTAAATCGTCGATTTAAGAATCAAAATGTCGATCAACCAACTTTGTGTCTGTTATTATAACAAGACATGTCAGGTAGCCGTTTGGGATAACTGCATGCAGACCAATTATCAACACAGGGGTGGATTGACTAATTGGGAACATTCTCGATGGACTGGTTTCCGATTATTCAGTGTTATCAGATGTTCTCTAATAAGTGATAAGTCTAAAGTGTAAATGACCTACTTGTGTAGACATTAATTCGTACAGCTTATTAACCCATACTCTCGTTTGTGCCCTTTAGATTAATTTATAAGTTTGCTAAACATTTTGAAGTCACTAGGTCAAGTACATGTACGTGTATATAGATCTAAACAGTTAGACTATATGCCTTAAAGACATTCGTTTGGTAATCATCCCAGGAGCTGACGTTATATTATCAAATTACGCCCTTTCACTTGTATACTCTCCTGGTCGTAATATTTACATCATCCACTTTAAATATATCAACTCTTGTCTTATCTACGCTCGGTTATTTTCATTATCTCACTTAATTTATTTATTTACAATTCCTGGCAATTCTCACATTCTTTCTGTTTTCTCTATCATAATTCATAACAAACAGTAACTCTCTCATAATCTATTCAAACGTTTCACCTGTCATCAAACTAAGATAAGAGTATTGCCTAAATTCTTAATTTGCTTTCTTCTTTTTATTTATCTTCTTTTATTTGTTGATTGTTTTGTAATTGTTGGAACTGTTTCAAGACTACGTCGTACAATCGATCTGCATGTAGAGGCTGGTGGCGGCGTCTGGTAGGTGCTAAAATAGGACAGGCTGGTTGAGGTTTTACGTCTGCTTGCATCTGAATCTATGTCTGTAAATAAGCAACTAACTGGCTGATTGTAGTTTAAATTCTTACAATTGCAAAGAAACGGAATTCAGTATACGCATTTGAAAATATTTCTTTCTGACCGATTTATACAGTTTATAGGGGTATAAAATTTCCTAATTCAAGATGGAACCTGTGCAGATATATTTTAGTTGATACCACTGTTTGATCGTTGCTGAATTACACCAGTTCCACGTAACGTTAGTATGGATAGCCATCTTAACATATAATAATAATGAATGCCCCGAAGGGTTAATGTTTACCAAACCAGCTATCTTTTCCGAACGGCTAGTGAATAATTTGACCCGTCTTCCTTATCCCGGTTTGCGCAGAAACTTGAACGCTCTTTTATCAGTGGCAACCATACGAAATCTGGGCCTGCTCTTTAAGTAAAAGCCAGCATTGTTACCTGTAGTTTTGGAATGGTATATATTTTTTCTGACCGATGTAAAACAATCTATTCTAGATATAGATAATATTTTTTTGTAAAACGTTGGCTAGTGATGAGTTAGTTGTGGAATGCACTATAAGATGAAAAGCAGTGGGAAAATACTCAGTCTTCGTTCTCACGGTTTTAGTGCCAATGTTTGGTAAAACGCCAGCTGCTGCATCTCTTGTACTGATAACCGAGACTATAGTGCCCTGATAACTTAGTCTATGGTACCTAAACGTTACCTGTCAAAAGATCAAGATACCTTGAAAATGTTCTCAAGCGAAAAACGATTCCATGTGCGCAGTATGCACACACGTGTAAAATACCAGACAAATAAGAATGATATATAATCTTATATTGTTGATAGCTGCATGATGTTGTCTATAATAACTAACTAGTAGCCTACCAACACTAAAAATGTTTAAAATGCTTGTGGCATGTACCAGATCATTTGACCGATTCGTCAAATTCAAAGCAAAAGCCTATTTTTTTTACATTAGTAGGATTTATTTAACTTTAATGTCACATTTGTAGGACTCGCTTAATTTTAATGCCACATTTCTTGTAAAAACTGTGTTGCTAAAGGTTGCCTACGTTCCACAACACCTTATGGAAAATGAAGATAAATCTTTAATACTGACCTAGATCCTAAATACAAATTTTTGAATCTTTATACAGATTTTGTCACGATTTTTCCAAAATGGCGTAACACATGTAAGATGTGTTATCGTAATTCCAAATAAAGTAGGAAGTCGCATTGCTTAGCAACTAAATGTTGCCGCGAAAAGTCAAATATTGAACGTTGATATGGTATATATTTGGATTTGCAAAAGAAAAAAAAGTTTATATTTACTGAATAAAAATGCGTAAAATATTAACTGTTACAGTTGAATAACGTAACGAAATTAGATTTTTTTTTTAAAATTCCATACAAATTATAAATTTATTGTAGATCTAATGTATATTTAAAATCAATAGTATCGTATATTTAACCTACATTCTAGAATTAAATTAAATATACTGTCGTAATGTTTATAAATAACTTCAATTTGAATAATAATATATTTTTAAACGAGGAAAATCAATTTCACTGTTTGTCAATTTGTTTGTTTGAACTACAGATAAGCTGTATGAAAAATGAAAAAAGGGAAACATTTGTATTGGTATTAACAGATTTTGTTTTTGATAATTATTATTTTTTTTTTTTATTGCAGTCGTTTTTTTTCTTCTCGATTTATGACCATACATTTTTAAGATACACATAATGACGTCTTTTTGAAAGTAAAATTATATTTTCCCATTGATATTTTTCAGGTACAGGAACAGCGGTCAGTACATTACGTCATTATTCAGATAGTGAAGACGTCAGAGATTTATCGCATCCACAAGGTCCATTACCAGATATTATCCCCCATCTCCCACGGGACCGCTCTATATCCCTCCCTGATATGCAGACATTGAGAAATCAGCGAGAGTTAGAAGTTGGAAGGGAATTAAGAAGATTGAGTGATGAATTCAATCAGAACTATAGCCACAGAAGACGTCGATCGGTGAGTTATCTGCTCTTGTTTATCGAAACTTGGCGTGTATATTATGATGACATCAATACAACAGACTTCGTTTTCCATGATTAAGAAAATCGACTATGTTTAGTTGTGAAATCATTCGACTAAAAACGGGCCATTTGCTTCTCACCAAAGACACCGCCCACCCCACCCCCACATGCACACTCTTTTCTAGATTTACACTCATCGACAGATTTTGTTGTGTGAATGGGTGAGCGTAGTTAATCTGTGTGCACTTTTTAGGAGTTTGTTTACTTGTTATTAGTCAATCCATGTCAATGTAATTGACCTTATCCACTTGACATTTAATATATTACATAAATACACATCCCGTAGTTACTATCTATAGAAAACCTATATTTAGATAAACATATGAACTACATTAGTGTGTAGGTTTGTAAAAATATAATGCGCAAATAGGATAATAATGATCTTGAATGTGGTCGTATATTGTCGATCCGTCGTCCACATTTTCTTGTGAACACTCTACAGACAACATTTATCATCTGATTGTTTTGAAATTGATATGTGTTGTTTACATCAGTGAGATAAAGAATCTTATTTTTTTTCAATAATTTCCGTTAATTTCTTCTGACGTTTTGGCCCTTGTTTCACTTTATTGCACCTTGTGAACGCTCTATCGACAAAAATTATCATCCGATCTGTATGAAATTTATTTGCATTCTTCGAATTAGTGAAACGAAGAAGCCTCTTGAATTTCAGCAATTTCCGTACATTAGTCTAGAGTTATGGCCCTTGTTTCACTTTGTCGAACCCTGTGAACGCTCCAACAACAAAAGTTATCATCCGATCTGTATGATTTTTATGCATTATTTAAATTAGTGAAAAGCAAAATCATATTGAATTTCAGCAATTTCCGGTAATTACATCTAGAGTTATGACCATTGTTTCACTTTGTTGAATCCTGTGAACGATAAAAGTCACCCGATCTGTATGAAATTTATTTGAATTATTTAAATTAGTGAAACGAAGAAGCCATTTCCGTTAATTACGTCTAGAGTTATGGCCCTATTGAAATTCTGGTTTCGAATCCCAGGTTGTACATGACAAGGAGTAGGGTTGCCTGTCCAACCTCGTGGGTTTTCTCTGGGCCCCCGGTTTCCTCCCACAGCTACAGACCCCTACGCGCAAGCGAATTATTGAAATAAAATTAAACCATGTGTTTGTCCCGAAATGATCTAGTCTGTGTCGAGTGGACGTTAAACTCTCTCTCTCTCTCTCTCTCCCTCTCTCTCTCTCTCTCTCTGTCAAATAATTACTTCTCGAGTTATTGGCCTTGATTTACTTTGTTGGACAACGTGAACGCTCGAACAACAAGTCATCATTCGATATATATGAAATTTATATGCATTATTTAAATTAGTAAAACGAAAATGGCTGTCGAATTTCAACAATTTTTATATGTTACTTCCAGAGTTAAGGACCTTGTCTCAGTTTGTGGAACCTCGTGAATCCTCAAAGGACGAAAATTATAATCGGATCTGTATGAAATTGTCTTGTAAATGCCCCCATTACCTACAAAATTTTGAATATGCCACAACCCTTGTTAACCGTCGGATGATTTGGCTGCTGTGGGCGTGTGTTTCATTGTCTGGCAACATATTATCTTTAACCGTTTTGGTTCAACATTACTTAATTGCAACAGTGCAATATTCTTTGACCCCTATTTGTTTCTACTTAAACAAAATTCGGTGAAATTTTTAGGTTAATTGTTTGTTTGTATTTACTTATATCAGCCTTCTTTGTATAGAAGACATGAGCTTACAAACATAAAACAGTGACATTTCTTATTCTAAAAACCAACACAATTTTGAATTGAATCGTTTTCAATAAAGAACATTCTGGTGAATAATTTAAAAATTCTGACAACAAATCAAATATTCAAGTTTTAAGTTGCCACTGTTTGAAGATCGGTCATGCGTGACGACTAATTTCTTTGTCAATACTTAATAAAAGATGAATAACAATATTTAGCTACATGTATACAATCAGGTACAATTATCGAATAACAAAACACCACACTTCATTAACGGTAAAGTATTTCATCCTTCCAAAAAACAAAAACTTATGGAAATATTTCAATAAATCCTCTAACGGTGAATAATATTATAAAATATTAACTCCAAAATTAAATGGTGGTCACAATGAGAAGATCATTTCTGGTTAATTAATTATTCTATTGAGTAGGAAATCCAATTCTCCCGTAAAAGTTAAGTTTTTTTCTATACTTACGCACATTGAGTTGTCATAATCTTTTCGAACAAAGAGGTTTATGGTTTGTATTCAAATAGTCAGTGTTATTATACGATCATTGTTATAATGGCTATAAATATATTTGTTTTAATATACGGTATTAAAACGAAAAAAAAACAACCAAGTGCACTTGTTCATCACGTGCCAATACAAATACATTTCTAAAGCAAATGGGTTATATTTTTTTATCAATTGGAACCACAATCATTTTTGGGGGGCAAGAACACACACACATGGCACACTTTTTCAGATGTCAAGAAATCATTTGCGGAAAAGAATTTATACATTTTTACACATTTTCTCGATAATTTGACTTCGAACTAAATATTCTAGTAAGTTATAATGAAATAAACCCAAATTGATTTTATTGATGCAATTATATGGTAAATAGGTACAACACATGTTTATATTATAAGTACCTGCTTATTAGCAATTATTAATAATTACACATCTATGCATATACTAGAGGTTATTCGGTGCATATGACGTAAACCGTGGTAGTAAATAGTCGAGAATATCAAGACGTCCGCTTACTAAAGAAATCCTTACTGGTTAATCGACATTTTAGGCGTGAGAACCAGGAAAATCTGATAGCATTGAGTGCACATTGATAAGTTTAAGTGTGATTTTGTCGATATTTTGCGCAAGAAAATAAATAAACACATAGATACATGGAGCATATGTGTGTGATGGGGTGCCACATTTAAACTGCTATGTCATTTTATGATATTTATATTTTTTACGGAACAGAACTGTAGGACGTTATTATATCCCATTTCATTTCATTTCATTTCATTTATATTTTTAAGACCAGCATCTAAAATCTCCAGTAGGTTATTTACAAACTTACATATTATGATTGATCATAAGAGATAAATCAAACGGTTTTAATTTTCTTTAAAAAAATGTATTTGTTTTTTTTTCTCCATATTATTAAAGAAGTTCAATGAGATTCGTAGAGTTTAAATTAATATAAAATATGTATACCGATGTAGATGATAAGATTATTAAGCTTCTAATGTATACATTTAAAATAAACAGTGCACTATCCCATGTCACTCGGCAAACCTCGGCAGATTCCGTTACTCTACATGTCTACATCTAGCAGATGTAGGGTACTGAAATCTGCTGAGGTTGGCCGAGTGTATCCCATGTCAGATTCGTTCTCCCAGACATGACATTGAGAGTTACTGTTCCTTGCCCTCCTCAATGTTTTTCAATAGAACATATACAAGTATTTTATGTTTCACGCTGGACTGAGATACAAAAGAAACAGGATTGGCACCCCCTACTGTTCCTAAGTCGAGTTCAAAACTAAATCCTATGTTTACAAATGGCTACTTGCTTCTTCTTACGAAATAATTGTTAAGTTTTTATCATGAAAAAGTCAGACCAATTCTTCGATCTTCACTTGACACTTCACTTCTTTCTGTGCCCATGCCTATAAGAAATTACATGGAAAATTTCCTTTACCAAATCACACTGAAACAAAATAACATTAGAGGAAGATCGTCATTTTCTCAAAAGGGCATTGAAAATCAACTGGGAAAGAACATTAGATAAAACTTTTCGTTTTCTTAGCTTATTTCTTGTCCCAAATTGCTGAACATTATAAACATTTTTCAAGCGCCTAGAAATATCATTCGGATCTAATGAAACACTTTAGAAGTTTTAAAATAAAATACAAATACTATTAACAGCTTTGGTTAAGTTATGAGATTGTACTGATCGTAAAATAAATATAATGCGTTATAATATCTTATGTATGTATGACTAATTAATGTATAAATTATCTCATCGTTTGATGACTTATTGACATCAGATCTATAAATAGATTCAGTTATGACGAGGAAATGAACACTTTTAAAGAGAAGTTCAATCATTCATTACATCACGCCAACCGTGTGTTACATGTATTAAAATCATAACATAAAGTTACCTGGGCGGAGAAAAGTGGAACACAAAAGGCAGTACAGATGCGCCTGGTTATAAAAATAATATTAATGTTTTGAATAAACCCCTTTGCACTCGTTATAATTTGATGTCGGTATCTTCAAAGAATTGTTGGTTCAGGATTTATTTATATTATGTAAAAACCAAATATGTTTGAAAACCCAAGACACATTAAATATGTCAACGAATTTGTGAAAGACATTTTAAAAATTATACTGTTACAAATTTCATCGTATAATTATTAATTACTTTTTATGAAATAAAGACAAAGTTGTGCGCGGACCATTAGTTACTTTAAATACACAGGTCATTGGGGTTTTACACGTGCTATATAGTATGTCATATAAAATACACATAAATAGGATGAAAGACTAATAGGCATCTTTCACCCTCTCTAATTAGCATGCACGTGTCACAAAAACTGGGCATGCGTATCATATTAACGGATTCGAATTACAAAGGAAACATCTTAGAGCCTTTTGTTACCGAGTGTATAAAAATGCAACAAATATAAAAAAAAATGATAGAATAATCGTTTTATGTTTCATTGATTGAAAAGGAGAGAACAAACATGATCGTGCAATGCGCGTGTTGACCTTTTCATTGTTCCCCTGTCGCTAAACACTCCGGCAGGACAGCTTGTATAAAAACAGCGGGGAAACTCAAAGTGCCATGTGAGGGAAAATCACGCGTGATAATATGATATTGATTTACCACTGAAAGTCAAGGGTTTATCTCTCATGTAGCGATTATTTGCTCAAATTATTTGTATTACCTTTAAAATCCACTTGAGGTTTTTCACACAATCCGATTAATTCAAGTAGTAAAATTTCCGTAAATGAAAGATATTCTAATTCAAGAGGAGAATGTTATAACGGCCATTAAATTTAGCTTGACAAAGCGTGTACTTTCAACACAAACCTCACTCAAAGTATCTTACAAAGAAGTCGCCGCTCTGTCATTTTCTCGGATTTATGACTGTTCATAAACTGTAACTTATTAAAACTAGGAAGATGATATGGCGTCGACTTAAGACAAATATACACTCATGCATATCATATGCCTCTTTAAAGACAAAAATTCAAAACAAAACGAGAACTGAAAAAGATTTTCATGAAAGGAAAATGAAATAAAAACATCAAAAAGTGATTATTTTATGACATTTATTGACACTTAATACCATCATATTGTTTTTACTCTTCATCTTGGATTTCATTTCCTGTCAACAGATGTCGCTGCAATCAGTTATTAAATCTGTTTACTGGTATTTATGACTTGTACACTGACCTCGCGTGCATGTCACCGGATAGTAATATGGTCACACTTTAAATGTTTAGTTAACCCTTGATTGGTCATTTGATCCAATTAAATATAATTGAATAAGGTGGTCGACTGTTAGCACGTGCTCTAAATGACATTTCAACAACGAAGGGGATTTGGCGGTCCCAAGGGATCTTCAACAAAAATTATTTAGTTATCAAGCCCGACCGAAACTTTAGCCCCACGAGGTAAAGTTATCAATGACCGAGAACTCAGAAGTTCAACTTTAACAGTGCACATAAAAGCTCTCGGCGCCTTCCAAAAGGTGTCTTTGACTATTTATCGTTTGGGTGACTAGGTGACTTGCGCTTTTGTAATATAGACAAGCTTGATCTATATTGTTGTATTTTTAAGGAACTAGATATCAATATGACAATATCTGAAAAAAAAGACATTAAACTGTCATGTATTATGTGGTTTGCGTCTCTTGGTTGCTTATTTCATATTTTGATTTTTTTTTCTTTCAGAATTCAGTGTTTGAAATGGTGCCATCAAATTCCTTCCCAGGTGCCCATAGGAACTATTTTTCGGGATTCGTCGACACTTTTCGAAGTATGTTCCTACGGTCGCCGAGTCCTCTAGACGAACGCGATGATCCCAGTTGAAACGATCATTATTCCGACCCCCAGGGGCTAGACAAACCCTAGGGACGACTCATACTACCAACTCAACAAGTACGATAACTCTCAAGTTATTTTACAACTTGGCAGTCCAGTGCGCCCCCTGAGGAGATAACTCCCAGGCCTCGCTGGTCGGGTAGACGATTCAACAAGGATTCCATCATACCACCTAAATGAATTTCAACATTTAATCCAGAGGTGCTATGCAAAGAATTAAATGAAAATATTTTTGCAAATTGTTTACATAATTTTGAAGTGAATTACATTTGATAACAATGTTTCATGATTCATGCATTGAGATTTGAATTTGTTAGTATTTGCTCTATTACTACTAGTTTATGTTTTTTGCTCAATAAAAGCAAATTTTGTATTAGCCATAAACGATCTCGTATATTTGTAAATATTCCTATATCCCTGAATAACTGTAAGGTACATTGCTAAGAAATAAGACAACGGGGTAATTATAAGAACACATAATACCCATTCATTGGATACGTATGTGTCTAGTCAAATTTAATAACTATTGGAATTATCTAATAAGATTCAAACTGTAACGTATAAGTTCATTATGTTTAATTGTAATATTTTCTATTCATCCCAGAGAAAACTCTTATAATACCATTATGTATTCTTTTTTGACACCTGATAGAATTACAAATTGTTTGAAAGAGCCAACTTTAAAGAAATATTACGTTATTATCTTTGTTTTGAATAATTAAGTGCTCGTAAACAATGTGTATGCGGTGGTCCTTATATTCTCAGTTATGATTAAGTTTCGTTTTATTAAGTGAAACAACAAAAAGCGAAACGAAATACGATTTATTTTTATTTATGAATTGTGTGTCAAATAACACATAATCTTATAGTATGTTCAGTTCACATCATACGTTTATAAGGCACATCGATATGTCTCAAATGATTAAAATACAGAGTTCAGTTTGCCCAGAATTTTAAATCAAATAAAAGGAGGAAAAGCACGTCACCATTTTACATATTGCTCAAAAAGTCAGCACTGAGGTTATCTGACTCTAAATATGTAACAACTAACAACGAATATGATCCGAGAAGGGCGTATCATCCAACCATACGAAGCCTTAAATAGATTAAATGGCATGCAAAATTAAAAATTATCAAATGGCAGTTACCCCATATAAAACGTATATGGTGGAATCTAATTATGCAAAACGAACATGCATCTATATGTCGAAAACCTCTTTCCCTAATCGATCTCGTTTCGGTCTTTTTGAAATCAAATTAAATTCATCATGGCCGATTATTGTGATCTCACGAAGACGCCGGAGAGACGAAATTCTGTCACAAAATGGCGGAATGATAAATCATTGTTATTAAGCCAGTTATTGGTGTTATATGTAGACCTTTAAATTTTGCGACATATTTTCGCGAAGACATAAATTTAAAATGGCTGACAATGTGATCTCGTGTTTTTCGAGAAACACTTTCGTAAGATCTCGCGAGACTTAAAATAATTCCTCCTAAGGCGATGCAGATCAAATTTAGTATAGAATTGTATCAGGTCAATGTTATTTAACTAGTAGCTTGATCTCAAAATATTAATTGGTGGAATATCGAACAGTCAAATGTAAGCAATATCTAATCGATCTTCGACCGGATTTGACGGAATTTTGTAGAGTTAAAGTGGGTGTAAGCGACTAGTTTTGAAGCTTATTATTTAAAAACAAAGTAAATATGAAAACAGTGTAGTATTTGTTTGTTTATAGAATATTATATTTTATTTTGTGTCATCCATATCGTAATCATACAATTGACAGTATATTATTCAATATGCACCCATATAATCACGATTTGATCCCTTCCCATTCCATCCCATATTTTATGCCGATGTTTAAACACGTTTAGTATGCGAAATATTCGGTTTTAGTTTTGAATCTCCGAAAGAGTTCTGGCAGAATCGTGAATAAAATCGAAAGTAGACATTTTAATAATCCTGAGAATTGTTGAAATCAGATATGTATCCGAATAAGAACAAAACAATTTTTGATCCATAAACAAGTTTGCGCCTATAAAGACGTTCAAACATTGCATTAGAATTTTTCAGTCCCCTTTCACCTATATCCACCAAAAGTGTAAATCATTTGATTTGAAAAGCATTCCACTTTATTTAGACGTTTGACAATTAATATTCGTAGATTTTGTTTGTTTGTTTGTTTTTTGTATTTGAAATATCGAATCGATTGTTTATTATTTTGTTTCCATATGTTATTGATTAAATCGCCCCATGGATTATTGGTGCGATATTTATTAGCTAACCGACCATTGCTGAAACCTGATTTTTTTGTCGGTTTGTGTAATAAGTTTCATTGGTTATCTAAAAGAGTCAGTTAGAACTGTGTTCAGCAGAACTTTTGTTCGTTCTCACTTATTTAACATCATAATGTGGACACCTTGCTAAGTCTTAGATGAAAATAAAGATTTCGCATTACTAGTTAATAACAGTTTTATTAAACCACCAAGTTGTGTATTGAACTTGAACTAGACTAAAAGCTAGTTTGTACAAACGAAAATAGTATCGCAACGACCTTAGTCTTACAGGTTGTCGCTTAAGCAGGTGCGTTTATTATTCATTATAATATAGTAATTCTAAGTCATGCAGTTCATATTACAGTATTTAACTTTGTAGAACCAAGTGCCAAAATATAAAAACACCAAATGTTTATTATAAACAACCAAACTTTATCATTTAAAAATTATACATATTTATACAAAGAGAAAGACATCTTTTTAAAATAAAAATAAAAAATAAACAAAAACAACTAACTAATTTCAATAAAAAAAACCCTCTTCTTTCGTTTATAGTTATTCATGACATCATCCTGGGCCCATATTATTAATAGAACAAATGAAATAATCGACTGTATTACGAATGATCAAATGTTTATTGAAATCTAGTCACAAGTTGATTCAAATAATAGTTATTTATTTATTTATAGTTTGTTTGTAATTTTGTTTCTTTTTATCCATATTTGGTAGTATTTACCAATTAAGGAAATTAAGTTTTCTCATGATCTCAATGGTTAATGTTTACGTATCACGTGATATATTAAAGGATATGTTTTGTGTGGCTCTTAAGTCAAAGAGAGGCTCATATGATGTTTGCATTATAAGTATTTCTAAGTTTCCATGGTAATACAAAGTATTATTTTGTGAAATTGTATACGACGACATTACATTACTAATTACTGTAAAATTTAAACGGAAAGAAAACAAATGTTTAATTGACTAATCTTTATTTTGACTTGAAAAATAAAGAATTCATGTATGGTCATTGAAATAAAATAATTTGAATCCATGATAATACATATGTGAAATACCCCTTATTGGTAAAATTGACTGTTATTTGAAATTTTGATTTGTAAATTTTCGTTTCACATTAATTGTATATGTATTTTGATAATTCGTTTTCTTAAGCTCTATTTACACGAACAGTCACAATAGTATCCACGTTATATTTTAATATAATATGAACTACCTTGCAAGGTTGACCAGAAGATTGAAAATCGTGTTGGTCATATATCTCGAGAAATAACTGGTCGTACAAATGTCTGGTCGTGTAAGCATGGCTTGATTATGGATTATGTTGCTATAAATAGATAATGTTACTATAAATAAAGATGTATTAAATAATTGTAAATACGAAGTCTGAATTGGTTGTGTTGAAATATTGGATTTTTTACTGTTTATAGATACTTCTAATAGAATACAATATTACAGAGCATCGTTTCTTGGAAACAGCCCAGCATGCGTTTTTCTGGCATAGAGTGTGCATAGAACAGCTACGTATTCAACCTTGAATTGTCTACTCCAGCTACAAGTTGGCGCATTTTGATTGGATTCGACGAGCGATGAGCGCATGATAATATTTTTAAATATTATTTTTATTCTAGCGTCTAGTTGTCACTTTTAGTAAGAAAATGGCGCTTGGCTGATTTCTACGAATCTGTTTTAAGCTGGATATTGTTTGACTATTATAAGTTTCTATAATTTTTACAAGTTTTCATAAAATTTAAAAAAAAAGAGTATTTCACAAAAATATTTTTGTTATTTGTATATACATTGCCTTGTTGATTAATTAATTGATTAATTGGTATATAATATAATACGATATTGAGCATTAGAAGTTAAAAGCGAGTTGCAAATAATATGTTTTGACATGGTTTAGTACTTGCTCGGGTCTGGCAAATTTATTGTCCCTCGCCTTTTGAAGAAAGCAGGGGACTTTCAAAATGGGTCCGTCAGTATGTTTGTCTGTCTGTCCTCTTAAATAAGCAATTTGATTAGCCTATACTTTGGGACACGATAGTCTTTATTTGTAATACCTTGACCATGTTCGACAATGAGCATCAGGTTAAGCAGAGTTGTAAACAATGTGATTGGTCGGGCACGATAACTTTGATTCTAATGATAAGCATTTCTTCTTGATTGATCGAGACTTTGGAACACAATAACTTTTCTTCTAAATAAGGTAGAATGTCCAAACTTGATGTAGGTGTATAATATGTGAATGCCTTGACTAAATAGGAGGAACGATTTTATTGACTGGGACTTTAAAGTACGAAAACTTTGGTTCTAATTGGGTGAGAGCAATGAAATATGGTATATCAAATCTTTGCCTCAATTCATTACTGAGCATTTTCTGCTTCGACTGAATTTGATTGCCCAATGCTTTACTATACGAGATTAATATGCAACTAGTTAAAATGTGTTGTCAATTCATTTGGAGGGGGGGGGGGGGTGAGGGGGGCGACATCTGCTTTTTGTTGGTATGTTCGCTTGGTCTCAGTCCCACACTCACTGGCCAACGATGTAACTTATGTAGCATGGACTACCGAGAGTGGTCTGCAAATCGTAGAAACTGATTTTAATATTACCCGTATTTTAAACGAGTTATATTTTAGGTGATGTACAAATTGAGATTTATTTACAAGGATAATAAAAGAAAAAAGATCCTTTCTTTTCATTAACATTGGACATTATAACTGACACCCTTCAATACATTTTTATGCGATAAAACTAAAACGAATGATTGAAATAAACTGCATGGGCTGCCAAAATAATTGATACTTTGGATTTGTATGGATATTTGAATTTTTAGAAAGAATCAAATTTGATAGTCGCTTTTTTATTGGAGAATGTTAGGCATGGCTATTGATAGTTTGGAATTGTACGGATATTTGTATATTTATGTAGAATCAAATCAATATTTTTTTTTTCTAAATGGAGAATGTTAGGTTATGCGTCGGTTGAATGACGGTTATGCATTGGATGAGTTTATTTTATTTTTGATAAATTTTGACAGAAAATCGCGTCCATTTTAATTTTTTTGGAATTTATGCATTGATATTTTTTATGTTCATTTCTACTGATTTACAATTAATAATACGCAACAGATTTGAATGCATTATTGGAGAATCTAATAATCACATTATTTTTCATTTTCGATAACTTTATTACTTTCTTTTTTTTCTTTCTATTTTTTTATATTATTATTATGTTATTTTTGTAGCACCAAACTGTCTCGACCATCCGGTCAAATGCTCATAATCGATATCCTATCAACTGGATGTTCGTGTCTAAATTCAAATCAAATCGCACATTGATTGATGACATAGATTATCTAATCCATTTTAAAATATATTTTCAGTTCGACTTATTCAAAATGTATATAAATAACATGTATGCAGGAAATGTGAAAACATTGAAATCAATCAAACGTCTGTATCAAAAATCGTGTTTATGAATATTAAGCTAAATTGAACTGAAAATTTCTGATTTAGAGTCAATTGGTTTAACTTAATTGTACATGAAGCGTTTTTTACGTATTCTCATGACGAAACATTATCATTTCTCATTGTCTACTTTCGCTGTCTCTTGTTAATCTTGACAATCGCCTTGATTTATTAATGACAAATTGTGACCAAATTTGCATCAACATCTACCAACTATGCAAACTTTTTGAAATGTTTGAACTTTTTGTAAAATATAGAGCCATTTTCTCGATTTTTTAAACGAATTTGGTTACTTTTGAAATTTCGTGAAAATGGCTCCTGGACATTCAAGGCGAGCATCATTTAACGTTTTCTGATCCTAAATGTTAATTAAAATAAATGCTCGGTAAAAGAGTGTGGAATTTCGTTATTTTGAAAATTCCCACTGAAATATCTTTTGTGACATTTTGCCTCGTTGTCATGCATGATACCTTCATCTACTCATCAACATGCTAGTTCCTGCTTAGTATTATTATTCATCATTGCGCATGTCAGAGCATTAACTATGTGAAATATTTCCAGATAATCGCATATCTTTGTAATTCCGGTAATATTTTTGTACTTCCGGTCACGTGGTCCAGCCAAATTATAAAAAAAATCCAGATGTTCTCGATCACGTGATCGAAATATTCCAAAAATGGTAGATTTTGAATATTTTGCCTTCCCAACTTTTGTATACCAATATTTTAATGACTTGGCTTCTATGTTTGTTAAATAAAAATATATAATGCTAAAAATTGTTGTTTTTGTCTGTATTGGAGTCTGTGTGTCCGAGTCAAACGTTACATGCATGGGATAGTATTGAACAGGGGCTGGGTTATGAAAATGTGAAAGGATGGTAAATCAGCGAGGGAGTGAATGACTGGTCTCGTTAAGGCGCGTGCTGTCTAACCAAGAAATGAAATGAAATGAAATGGGGTTTAACATTCCACTGTTTTCCTCCGGCTAGGCTAATGAAGACGTGTCTCTAACCAAGAGGTCCCGGGTTTAATCCCATGCATTGTTTGCCGAGAAAGTTGCTCGAGATTTTACAGCGTTGATTCCGCTTGTCGGTGGCAAGCAACAGTGGCTAGTAAGTTGATTAGATAAAATGAACAATCGAGGTCTCGTTTACGCAATGAAATGAAATGAAATGGGGTTTAACGTCCTACTGTTCTGCTCCGAACTGGGCTAATGAAGACGGGCATACGCCATACAGTGTGCTATGAGGGAAATTTTGCCCGGACAGCGGCACTACGGCCTACTCTTAATCGAATTCCAACTGTCAAGGGATCTTTTACGTGCACGCCAATGGGTACATGGGACCTCGGTTTTTCGTTCCATCCGAACGACTAGACAGCTGTCCTGGTCTAGAACCACGCCAGAAAATCTGGATGAACTTTCTGGGCCAATGCAGGGATTGAACACCCGACCTTCAGACTAACGAATCAGCGTCTTACCCAATCAAGGCACCGTGATCCCCTCCCGTTTACGCGTTGTCGTGCACGTAAAAGAACCCTTGCGTTGGAACTGGAAGAAGAGTAGGCGGTAACGCCACTGCCTTGGTAACAATCCCTTATAGCACACTACATGGCGCGTGTCCGTTCTCATTAGACTGATTGGTACCGAAAATTAGGACGTTAAACCCTATTTCATTTCAGAGAGTTGGAAATGTGGGTATAAATTATAAATAACGTAGTATAGTAACCGATAAACTCTTCGAAATTTTCTTACCAATATTATGTACACAAGAAAAAAGAAAATCCTCATGGAGAGCTAGTTCCCCCTCCAACAGAAGCCATTTCACTGTTAATCCTTCTTTAACATAACACTATAAACCTCAGAATGCCCCGGTCGGCATTTTTGTCCAAACGTGGCAAAAACGTGCTAATAAAATTTTTGCCACAATTTTGCCACGTTGTAACGTGGTAAAAACAAAATGCCACGTTTGTCTGGAGTTCCAAAACGTATTTTTTTTTTAAATTGCCATGTTTTTGGAACGAGGTATTTTGACCAGAACGAGGTTGTTCACAAGGTTGGATACATGATTTTTCAAAAGGGTTGGGGTGGGGTTCATCGAGCGTATCGAGGACAGCGTAACATTTTTGGTGACACTTTCAAGCGATTATGTAGAGAAAAAAACATAAGGCAAAGTCGACTAGAAATGACATTCGTTGCATAAAAAAGTTTGTTACATTCTTTGTTGCAGTTTCATATGTTCACACAGTATTTCCAACAAAGAGATATGAGAAATGAAAAACAGCAAAGTTCAAAGCGGAGCGAACTCAATAATTGTTTTTTAGGCCTTTGAATATTATTAATTACAAATATGCTGTTCCTTTTTTACATAATAAACGATATTATATTTAATATATCTCATGAAATTTTATGTAATTGACACTCAGTTGTATGTATAAAAATTGCAAAAGCAATTAAATTAAAATCAATCGAAAAATGAAATAGACACAATTTATGTTTATATAATGACATGCAAAGCGGGGCGATGCGAACAACTATATTAAAAATGATAATTACATTTACATCCTTCAGGTGACCGGCCTACGTCGGGCTTCTTATATAAAGGGTCGATCTGGACTATATGTTGGAGAATAAAACTGCTTAATTTTGTGTTAAAAGCCATTAAAATCTTCTACCTTTGGACCGAGCAACTAACTCAATAGACATGATACGTTTTCATCTTAAACCCGTCGTTAATTATATAAAAACAGGAACAGCATATTTGGTTTGGCTGAATCCCACCCCCAACTCTTTTGAAAAATCGTGTATCCAATCTTGTGATCAGCCTCGTTCTGGACAAAATACCTCGTTCCAAAAACATGGCAATTTTAAAAAAAAAAAAATACGTTTTGGAACTCCAGAAAAACGTGGCATTTTGTTTTTACCACGTTACAACTTGGCAATATTATGGCAAAAAATTTAATACGTTTTTGTCACGTTTGGACAAAAATGCCGAACGAGGCATTCTGAGGTTTATAGTGTAAGGCTTGGAGTGAGCAAGAGCCGACGATATGAACACAACGATTTTGGTACATTGGCCTATTCAGTAAACAAGGCATCATCGGTCAGACGAAGGCGGTGGGGAGTGGGGGTGTGAAGAAACAGACATGGAAGACTTACCATGTGTGTTAAGGTGGTGTCGTCGGTCAGACGAAGGGGGGGGGGGAGAAAGGGGGTGGGGTGAAGATACAGACATGGAGGACTAACCATGTGTGTTAAGATGGTGTTGGGTAAAAGACACACGCTTTTGAATCCTACGCCTGATATAATTTAAACCATAGTATCACCCAGAATCCGTTTATAAAGGACGAAACAGAAAAAAGAAAAGAAAAAAGAAAAATATAGGAATTTGCTGTATATATATATTATTAGTATATCAAACTGTCCAACTCTATTCGGGTCAGAAGAACTAATTCTTAGAAATTACGAGAGTTAGAAACTGGGTAAATTGGGGGCAGTACATGTAGTTTAGTGCACTGTAACAATTAACTCAGTTCGTTCTTTACGCTTAAATAATAACAGAATATTGACTTCTAAAACTCTTTATTATAATGAGAACATGAATTCTACTCATTAAATTACTATACTGTTGGTACACTGCCCTTTGTAAAGCCATTATGAACAGAATTCATTTTGGCAACTTTCAGACAACAGTTGTCTCTATAATAACAGTATTGTGTAAATAAATCCCATACAATAATTACCCGCTGTAACTATTATACATAATAATATATGATTTCTATCTCTGTTTCTACATCATAAATCTGGTAAGTATGTTATATATCGTACGCGCAATGTGACATTTTCTCACTTCTGATTCGCGATTCATCCCCTTACTCTTTCTCAGACTCAATAACATTTCATAGTCTTTTCTAATCTTTTTAGATATGGATCTTTCTTTTACAGGGTAGACATTTTTTTTGTATACAATTCTTTGCTAGCATCGTCTCTACTAATGATCGCTTTTCCTTTCTCTGTTTTGCACAAATGACGCATCCTACCAATCACGAATATACCAGTCTGTATTTTTCCCGTCATAATAAAGATGTGCTCCTCTTTGTAAATCTCTCCGAAAAGTTCTTTCCTCGCAGTACTTTTACTCTTTCTGGACTATATATCATCAGATATGAAAATACATGATGAAATTGAATGGTTAGATGCAAATGAAACATTTACAGTGATTCCACAGCTTTTTAGCACCGCCGAAGCTGAAAAACATGCAAAATACCATCTATTGTAACAAAATTACTAATAAACAAGCATTTTTGCAGTTTTTGACTAATATATGGTTCAATTTTATATCAATAATTCGCTTGCGCGTAGGGGTCTTTAGCAGTGGTGGGAAACCGGAGGAACCCGGAGAAAAACCCACGAATTTGGAAAGGCGACCCTACTCCTTGTCACGTACAATCTGGGAATCGAAACCACGCCAGTTGACTCAATGACAGACCTTATGATGCAGTGCACACGCGCTAACCATTCAGGGCCCCTGCCCCCCCCCCCCTGTACTGGGAAAGAAACTTACATGTCACATTTTGTAACTTGGGTTGTCGTATGAACCATGGGACACTAAATTTCTCGTTGACATCGTGCGCGTTCACAAAATTAGCACATTTCAAATTAACGTATATTATCATATCTCTGATTTTTTTAAAAAAACACTCGCCAGTATGGATCGCTCCACACCCAATATAACTTATTGCAATACTAATAGTCCAAGAGCCAGTGACGAAAAAACTGCCTCATAAGTAATAGAAGGTTTGACCATATTTTTTGGCTGCTAGGGCAGATTCAAAACACCCAGTCTTTTTCTGACTGCCTTAAGAAGTGCCGACGGGGGCCAAAATTTACCTCATAAGTAATATAGTTGAAATTGGTGCCAAATGTTAGCTATGTATGAGCTGATTCTAAAAATATCAAATCTGACTGGTTTCAGTGGGGCACGTCCCTAATCTGACCACTTAAAATCTGCCCGATCTGCCACGCCCACAAAAAAGGTAGGCCTACAATTTGTAATAAGCCATGACCACATCATGACTGAATAAATAATCCTCTCATATCTGGGTCAGTACAACAAACACATAATAATGGGTTAAAATAATACATTGTGAAATATAAACGTTCACATAAAATGTGATATATATCACGAGAGATATGGGTAATATTTACACGGCTCAATTAACCAATACCACATTATCATTAGATGAAATATTTACTATGTTATAGGGCCAAACGTACAAAATTATATTTTATTGGGTTAAAACAATATATCGCGAAATAACAAATGTTTGATATGATATAAGATATTAAATTTTTAATTTTTTATCCGGGTTTTAGACTACCACATCCATTATAAAACAACGAAACGAAATTGACATCTGTTGTTATTGATTTCAATTTGAATACAAATATTTTATTGTAATGTAAACATAATATAGGCATATTTGCTCAATTTTAACACATATACAATATGAAAAGGTTTTTTTTTATTTAAGAAGATAATGATTGTTTGTAGAACACATTGCATACCATTCACAAGTAATCGTTTCGTCGCTAATTAAACAGGCATTATTCTAGAGCTAAAGCTGCCTATTGTAGGTCTTTCTTTAGGATATTATTAATTAGACATTAATTAATACCAAGACCATAATCAACCCTCGATGCCATCGGATGACTCCGATTTTATGTAGATTTAAATACGTTTTGCGGTTGATGATTTAACGTAAAAACGGATATTCGA